CGGGCAAGATGTGACTCCTGCAGGCAGCAGATAGAAGTGTCTTGTTTTTTAATCCAACTAGACAGTCTATGTCGCTTAATTGGAGAGTTCAGTCCATTAACGTTAAGAGATAAGACTGAGAGGTATTTGGGAGTTCCTCCTCCTCCTCTTTCTCCTCCTCCTCCTCTTCCACCTCCTCCTCCTCTTCCTCCTCTTCCTCCTCTTCCTCCTCCTCTTCCTCCTCTTCCTTCTCCTTCTCCTCTTCACTCTTTTTGCAGTGTTAGGGAATAAAGGTAGGTGTTTTCCAACTCAAGTGATGCCTCTAGCCAGTTTATCTTGGTTATTTTTATAATAGTAATCCCTTTATGCATAGGTCTGCCTGGGTTGTGATTCTCCTATTTATGCTTCTTCCTTTCACTGTGGATAACAGTTACACACGACTGGACCCAGCCATTGCACTTCCTGTGAAGCTAGAGTAACAAGCTCATACCATTGTCCAGCCATTGAGTTAGAAGGAATCTGGTTGCCTTTTATGCCTGGGTGGTCTTAAACTGCTATTCTGTGAACTCCTAAGTAGCTATGGTGACAGGCTTGAACTACTTGTATCAAGCCTCTACTCCATTGTTAATGTAGCATTAATTAGCATATTGCTCTTCTTTCCCTTTTCTTGTCTGGTCTCTTGTCTGTTCTTGATTTTAATCCCCACCCTCCCTTCTACTCTCCCAGGTCAAATTTATTCATCCCCATAGCCACAAATATCATTCTTTTCATGAGCACATCTCAAATGCTAAGATCCAAGTCTGATCAAATCAGTTTCTCTTGCAATCAAATAAATGAGTGCTCTGTTGTATGATTTCTTTCTTTCTTTCTTTTTTTTTAGGGTCCAGTTGTGGGGCCTGAACTCTGGGCTTGGGCGCTGTCCCTCAGCTCTTCAGCTCAAGGCTAGTGCTCTACCACTTGAGCCACAGTACCACGTCTGGCTTTTTTCTTTTTGCTTATGTGGTGCTGAGGAATCGAACCCAGGGCCTCAGGCATGCAAGACAAGCGCTCTACCACTGAGCCACCTTCCCAGCCTTGTTGTATGATTTCTTGTCATCCAAGTGAGAAGCAGATGCTTTTATTACTGTTCTCATACCCATTTAGTTCCTCCTTAACATTTCTTTTTCTTTTCTTTTCTTTTCTTTTTTTTTGTCGGTCATGGGGCTTGAACTCTGCGCTCTTCAGCTCTACCGCTTGAGCCACAGCACCATTTCCGGTTTTCTAGTGGTTACTTGGAGATAAGAGTCTCACGGACTTTCCTGCCAGGGCTGGCTTGAACTGCAATCCTCAGATCTCAGCCTCATGAGTAGCTAGGATTAGAGTTGTGAGCCACCAGCGCCTGGCTCCTCCTTAGCATTTCTCTTGTATTCTTATGTTTGTTTTTTCATTCCCTACATTCCCTTGGACCAGGATCATCTTCTCTCAGCTTTTCTGATGTTGCTTCTAGTTACTTTTCACACCTTCATAAAAGCATTTTGCCTCAAAATCAAGTGGTACCCTGTCATGTCTCTTTTCAAAAATCTTCCTGGCTCACTATGTTCTCTAAAAGTTCAAGCCCTTCATGTGACTTCCAAATAGCAATTTTTAATAATAATAATAAACAGCAAGTACTGTAGTACACCAAAATAAAACAATCACTAAATGTATCCAGAAGCTCTAAATTAAAGTAAATCTTTTCACTCTGGAACTTTTTTTAGAGCTTCTAAAATGCTAAGGTGAGTTGTGAATCTTCAGTTTCCCAAACACACTCGGTCAAGGGATCCTCTCATAGAAGTACAGCTGTGAAGACCTCAAGGACAGTGCTGGTTAGAATCCAAGCAGGCAATATCAGTTGTGGCTGTGTGGAAGGTGGTGTTTAATTGGAGGAAATGGGTACTGGCAGCATGCCTTGGAAGGGTATGTCATCACCCTACCCTTTCGTATTACTCTTGCTTTCTGGCTCCCATGAAGTAAATGGCTTTCCTTTTCTATGTCCTTCCTCCATGACTAAAACCTGTGGAATTGTGAACTGAAATGAATCCTTCCTCTGTGTGTGAAGGAGTATGTATGTATGTGTGTATGTGTGTGTGTGTACACACTATATACACACACACAATAGATACACAGATATACATTTATAGAGAGAAGAATAAATAAAATATTGAAATATGTGAAACTATAGAATAATATAATGCTTACTACAATGCCTTTGAAATTTTCTGATCAGAAATATTCCTTAAGAAAGAAAGGGTTCTTTGGTGTATACAGGAACAAGACTTTTGGGCTGGGAAGGTGGCTCAGTGGTAGAGTGCTTGCCTTGCATGCCTGAGGCCCTGGGTTCGATTCCTCAGCACCACATAAGCAGAAAAAAAAAAGCT